GCACACCTGGACACACCTGGGCACACCTGGACACTCACTTGTTGCTGGGTTTGATCAGCTGACCGTTCTTGTACCATTTCAGGGGCACCTGGGGCTGTTTTGGGACACACCTGGGGGGGTCTGGGGTCACACCTGGACACACCTGGGCACACCTGGGCACACCTGGACACTCACTTGTTGCTGGGTTTGATCAGCTGACCGTTCTTGTACCATTTCAGGGGCAGGTCGGGGTTGCTCAGCTCCACCATCAGCCGGATCTTGTTGCCCTTGTCCACCTGGTAGGCCGGGTCCAGCTTCCGGATGAAGGCTGGGGACGCACAGGTGAGACCAGGTGAGATCCAGGTGGGCTCAGGTGAGCCCCAGATGTGCTCAGCTTGGCTCAGGTGAGCCCCAGATGCGCTCAGGTGGGCTCAGGTGAGCTCCAAGTGAGCTCCAGATGTGCTCAGGTGAGCCCCAGATGTGCTCAGCTTGGCTCAGGTGAGCCCCAGATGCGCTCAGGTGAGCTCCAGATGCGCTCAGATGAGCCCAGGTGAGCTCAGATGAGCTCCAGATGTGCTCAGGTGAGCCCAGGTGTGCTCAGGTGAGCCCCAGATGTGCTCAGGTGAGCTCAGGTGAGGCTCTTGAGCCGCTCCCATCCCCCAAAAACCCTCAAAAAAACCCCCAAAAAATCCTAAAAAAACCAAAAAAAATCGCCCAAAAATTCCTCAAAAATTCCCAAAAATTCCCAAAAAATTCCTGGATTTCCCAAATTCCCGGATTTTCCCACCTTCGCTCTTCTTGGGCTCCACCTTGATCTTCTTGAGGCGTTTCAGCCGCTCCCATCCCCCAAAAACCCTCAAAAAAACCCTCAAAAAAACCCCAAAAAATCCTAAAAAAACCGAAAAAAATCCCAAAAAATTCCCAAAAAATTCCCAAAAAATTCCCAAAATTCCCGGAATTCCCGGATTTTCCCACCTTCGCTCTTCTTGGGCACCACCTTGATCTCCTTGAGGCTCTTGAGCCGCTCCCATCCATAAAAACCCTCAAAAAACCCCCAAAAAATCCTAAAAAACCCCAAAAAAATCCCAAAAAATTCCCAAAAAATTCCCAAAAAATTCCCAAAAAATTCCCGGAATTCCCGGAATTCCCGGATTTTCCCACCTTCGCTCTTCTTGGGCTCCACCTTGATCTCCTTGAGGCGTTTCAGCCGCTCCCATCCATAAAAACCCCCAAAAATCCTCCAAAAACCAAAAGAAATCCTCAAAAAATAAAAAAAAATCCTAAAAAATCCCAAAAAATTCCCAAAAAATTCCCAAAAAATTCCCAAAATTCCCGGAATTCCCGGATTTTCCCACCTTCGCTCTTCTTGGGCTCCACTTTGATCTTCTTGAGGCGCTTGAGCTGCTCCCATCCCCCAAAAACCCTCAAAAAACCCCCAAAAAATCCTAAAAAAACCCAAAAAAATCCCAAAAAATTCCCAAAAAATTCCCAGAATTCCCGGAATTCCCCGATTTTCCCACCTTCGCTCTTCTTGGGCTCCACCTTGATCTTCTTGAGGCGTTTCAGCCGCTCCCATCCATAAAAACCCCCAAAAATCCTCAAAAATCCTCAAAAATCCCCAAAAATCCTCAAAAAATTAAAAAAAAATCCTAAAAAATCCCAAAAAATTCCCAAAAAATTCCCAAAAAATTCCCAAAATTCCCGGAATTCCCGGATTTTCCCACCTTCGCTCTTCTTGGGCTCCACCTTGATCTTCTTGAGGCGTTTCAGCATGCCGCGGAGGTCGGTGATGCCGTACTGGAAGGCGATGCGCTCGTACTCGCTCTTCTTGGTGACGCCCTTGAGCAGCTCCCAGATCTCAGGGGGGATGGTGTCTTCTTCATCGTCCTTCTTCTTCCTCCTCGTCTCCTCGGCTTGCTCCTCCCTGCGGGGGATCATCGTCATCATCGTCATCTTCGTCATCATCGTCATCGTCGTCATCGTCGTCGTCGTCGTCGTCTTCGGTGCTGAAGGTCTCGTCCTTGTTCCTTCATCGTCCTCATCCCCGTCCTCATCTCCATCATCATCCTCCTCGTCCCATCCCCATCCTCATCTTCATCATCCTCATCCCTATCCTCATCTTCATCATCCTCATCCCTATCCTCATCTTCATCATCCTCATCGTCATCATCCCTATCCTCATCTTCATCATCTTCATCATCATCATCATCCCCATCCTCATCATCCTCATCATCCCATCTCCATTCTCATCTTCATCTTCATCATCCCCATCCTCATCTTCATCATCATCATCATCATCTTCATCATCCTCATCGTCATCATCCCTATCCTCATCTTCATCATCCTCATCGTCATCATCCCTATCCTCATCTTCATCATCTTCATCATCATCATCATCCCCATCCTCATCATCCTCATCATCCCATCTCCATTCTCATCTTCATCTTCATCATCCCCATCCTCATCTTCATCATCCTCATCGTCATCCCCATCCTCATCTTCATCATCATCCCATCTCCATTCTCATCTTCATCATCCTCATCATCATCCCCATCCTCATCATCCCATCTCCATCCTCATCTTCATCATCATCCCATCTCCATTCTCATCTTCATCATCCTCATCATCATCCCCATCCTCATCATCCCATCTCCATCCTCATCTTCATCTTCATCATCCCCATCCTCATCTTCATCATCATCATCATCATCATCATCCCCATCCTCATCATCCTCATCATCCCATCTCCATCCTCATCTTCATCTTCATCATCCTCATCATCATCCCCATTCTCATCATCATCCTCATCCTCGTCCCATCCCCCATCCTCATCTTCGTCTTCATCGTCATCATCCCCATCCTCATCTTCATCATCCTCATCATCCCCATCCTCATCTTCATCATCTTCATCATCATCCCCATCCTCATCTTCATCTTCATCATCCTCATCATCATCATCCCCATCCTCATCTTCATCATCCTTGTTCCATCCCCATCATCCTCATCCTCATCATCCTCATCCTCGTCCCATCCCCATCCTCATCTTCATCGTCCTCATCATCATCATCCCCATCTTCATCTTCATCCCCATCCTCATCATCATCATCATCTTCATCTTCATCCTCATCCTCGTCCCATCCCCATCCTCATCATCCTCATCCTCATCCCATCCTCATCTTCATCTTCATCGTCCTCATCATCATCATCCTCATCTTCATCATCCTCATCATCATCCCCATCCTCATCTTCATCATCCTTATCCTTGTTCCTTCATCATCCTCATCTTCATCCCATCATCTTCATCATCCTCATCCCATCCCCATCCTCATCTTTGTTCCTTCATCATCCTCATCATCATCCTCATCCTCATCCTCATCCTTGTTCCTTCATCATCCCCATCCCCATCATCATCTTCATCACCCTCGTCCTCATTCCATCCTTATCATCATCCTCACCATCCTCATCCTCATCCTCATCCCATCCTCTTCATCACCCTCGTCCCGCCATCCTCATCTTCATCCTCATCTTCATCACCCTCATCATCTTCATCACCCTCGTCCCAATCCCACCAGCACACTCATCCTCGCGCCTTCAGCCTCACCTTCATCCTCGTCCCATCATCTTCATCCTCGTCCCGCCATCCTCATCCTCATCTTCATCATCCCAACCCCAGCCCTCCTCCTCTTCCTCCTCCCCCTGCTCTTCCTCCCCTCTTCCTCCTCCTGTTCTTCCTCCCCTCCTCTTCCTCCTCCTCCTGCTCTTCCTCCCCTTCCTCCTCCTCCTCTTCCTCCTTCTGCTCTTCCTCCTCCTCCTCCCCCTGCTCTTCGTCCTGTTCTTCCTCTTCCTCCTCTTCCTCCTCCTCTTCGTCTTCCTCTTCCTCCCCCTCCTCTTCCTCTTCCTCTTCCTCCTGCTCTTCCTCCCCTCCTCCTCCTCCTCCTGCTCTTCCTCCTCTTCCTCCTCCCCCTCCTCTTCGTCCTGTTCTTCCTCTTCCTCTTCCTCTTCCTCTTCCTCCCCTCCTCCTCCTCCTCCCCCTGCTCTTCATCCTGTTCTTCCTCCCCTCCTCTTCCTCTTCCTCCTCCTCCTGCTCTTCCTCCTCTTCCTCCTCTTCCTCCTTTTCCTCCTTTTCCTCCTCCTCCTCTTCCTCTTCCTGCTCTTCCTCCTCCTCCTCCTCCTGTTCTTCCTCTTCCCCCTCCTCCTCCTCCTCCTCTTCCTCCTCCTGTTCTTCCCCCTGCTCTTCCTCCCCTGCTCTTCCTCCCCTCCTCCTCCTCCTCCTCCTCACCTCTTCTTCAGGAGCCCGCTGAAGTCCAGCTCTCCGGCCGTTTCATCCTTGGAGTTGTCCCTGGGGGGGGGCACCCGGATTTGGGGGATTTTGGGGGAATTTTGTGATTTTGGGGGATTTTTCTGGATTTTTGGGGATTTTTTTGGATTTTTTTTGATTTTTGGGGATTTTTTGGGATTTTTTTTTTGATTTTTTGGGGGGGATTTTTTGGGAATTTTGGGGGGTTTTGGGGA